TGATTAGTTATTGTGTGGCATCTATGTAGAGACAGGAGCACTTTTTGATATCTGCATCCCCACCACATAACAACAGCAATGGTATCAGCAGAAAGTGAGATCCCAATTTTACCAGCAAGAAAACTCAGCAAAACTACCAAACCAAAAGTGCTTCAAGCAGCAAGAAGAAGCTGGCTTAAGGGGACAAAGGAAAATGATGGTCATTTGCGAAACGATGAAAAGAGGATGTAGCATGTGATGATCATTTAAACACCAACACTGTAACCGGACATGCAGTCAGCACCCAGGATCTGTGTAATGACAAGACACAAAAATACAAGAAGAGGGACTCAGGGTGGGAAAATCTACTACAATTCTTGCTATCCCCTCTTGAGAAAAAGGAAAGAAATCACCTTTGGCTGGTATCAATCAGAGATGGATTGATGAATTCCTCCCAAACAAGCAAGCACAGGAATCTCCCATCTCAAACAGGAAATGTGTGGATGAGTTTGTGCATACACACATTCCATGTTGGAGGAAAAGAAAGAGGTGTGTGAACAACCAAACACACACTCGTGTTGCTCAAGGTCATTCTCCTCTTAAAAAGAGAAACAGGAAAAGATGACTACAACAATGGCTCAAGGAACAAAAATCAAGTGATAATGTCTTTGCACCTCTCTGCTCATGTCTGCTTCCACAGACGTCCTATTGTTCCACCTCTACTAATAATGACTTAAAAGAGTGCTTACCAAGGAAATGGATTTTGCTGGGAAACTTTTTATGAGTATCTAATAGTCTTAACTCATCAGTGAGACAGACCAGTGAGCCAGGCCAGTGAACCAGGCCAGTAAGCCAGGCCAGCTCTCAGGACAATGCTTAACAAGCACAGTAGACTGGTGTCTCCAAACTGACTTGTACTCGCTCCATCCCTCCAGAACAGGGAGAAGATCCAGGGTGGCAGAGATCTTCACTCTTTGCTGGAACTTCTATACATGAACCCCTGTGCTAGGAATTATGACATATAACCTAACTCAGATCTACATCCATGAATGGCATTTTTAAGCACGAATCACCCCATTGTCTATGTTTAGGCTTCTAAGCATTCATCATCCATTCTAATGCATTTGTTTTGCCTTCTCTGAGGATGAGGGTGCAAACGCAAGACCTACTCTGCTTGAATTGTTAGTGGGAAAAGGCCAGAAAAAAGTGAAATGAGACAGAGAGGAGGAGGAAATACCTTATTTCCCAAGTACCTATAATGCCCGCATTCTTTCTTCCCTGGGCACACTCTAGGCAGGTAGGACTCATTTGGTAATAGATATTATGAACATACCACCTCTATTGTAATAATATTCTGGGGTTATTTCAGGGGCAAAGGGGTACCCTTGTCAAAGATTCAGAACACACAACTGTCTGTCTAGGAGCGTTTGAGTGTTAGGTGAATTACAAATACATTTATTAAAAGATATTTTCAAAAATGTGATAAAAGGAAAACCCTTTCTTCATTTCTCCCAGAGTCTCATGTTTTTAAAGGTTTATTTATTTATTTTTTAATCCAGGGAATGCCCCCCTTTTTTGCTAAGTCTTCAGGGGCAGAGCGTGGAGGGTCTGCTTTCCGGCTAAAGTGTAGTTGTCCGCGGAGTCTTCACAAGGCTAAGGTGTGTGAAGGGTGGCCCTCATCTCCTCCTCCTGCAAGTTTATTGGGCATGAGGTGGGGGAAGGAGCTTAGTCGACTTCACAGCATGTTTCAGCTGGAGGCAAAAGGGTGTAAATGACTCCATCAAACTCAGGAAAGCAAAAGGGGAGAAGAAGAAGAAGAAATGGGAATCCAGGAAACACATCCTCAGCTTCAGGTTGTCAATCCTGAAACATCACGCAGAATTTCAAAACGGATGCATTTTTGTAGCCAGCTTATGGTCCGTGTTCTTGAATATTCATGGCGGGGAGCGGATTCTGCAGGTGCAGGCGGGACATGACCGCCCTCCACACGCCTCTCCCCTTCTTCCTCTTCTCATCCCCGGCGGCCACCTCCGCCGGCCCCAAAACACCAGGGGACCCGCTGAGCTCTCCTACCCCGCCCTGAGAAATTGTCAGAGCCAGCCTGGCAGCTGCAGTGGCAGAACCCAGCCCCCAAAGCCGGCTGCTTACACGGCCTTGTAGCACCACCAGCCTGCGAAGGCTGCAGCAGCAGCCAAGACCAGACTCAGAGGAGGTGTTGGGGACGTCAGCTCGCAGGCACAAGGAGAGCAGCTCATCGGCCAGCTCCAAGTGTGCAGATGCCATCATAAGGATACCTACAGAACCGCAGGGAGTGGAGAAAAATCAAGCAGCGCCCCTACCCTTCCAAAGGGGCTTCAGCAAAGAGGCAACCCAACCCCCGCGCGCCCCGCCGGCAGCCTCAGCCACCGCCTCCAGGGGCAGGACGCGCGGCGCTGGCCGGGGCCAAACCCTCCGCCCAAGGCAGCCAGCAGGCAGCTCGGGGGCGGGAGACGAACGAGCCCTCTTAGCTGAATTATTCAGCCTGTCTTCACTGTGGAATAAAACATTGATGAGACTACTTTGGAAGTGCTTTATCTTGTTAATCCTAACGCCTTCTGAGAGAGAGTGAAATTTCCTGAAGGAGTGGATGCGGAGGTGACGGGAAAGGAAATGAAAGAAATGATGTGCGAGGGGACGGCAGGGGAAGGGGCTCTGGAAGTTAACTAAACGTGTTCTGTCTCACCGCCCAGGGGAATCTCCATCTTAGCATATCAGACCCGGCGTGTTAATGAGGCAATCACAGTCCAACCTGCTTTTTGTAAATCAAAGCACTAAAAAGAATTTTCAAAAAATACCTATTACACAGAGACTAAAACCCAAAAAACAAAACAAAACCGCACAAACAGGCTCTCCTCCGCAGTGGAGACAACACAGCCCGCCCGGATGGGGCTGGGTGGTGGTGAAGGTTTTAGCGTCCATCTCCCAGATACAGAAAGGACTTTTTTCACGGATTTATTTTTCTACATAAAAGGAAACCCTTGCAGTGAAACGCCGTATCTCAACACATACATCCCTGACAAAGAATTCCTTGCCATGCGAAAAAAATCCCAAGAAAACTCCATTTGGGGTCAAAGTCTCCAGATGCGTAATTTACAACTAGTAAAAGGATCTGGCAAGCTTGTCCACAACAACAACAGAAAAGAAAACAGCCTGGCACCACAAGTAGAGAGGGGTCAAAATCATCCTTGGCTGAAATGATGGGTGGATCCAAACACCCCTCTCACCGCACAATCTGGAGAGGGCTGGATACCAAATGGTCCATGGCAACCACAGCCTGAAGGAAGCAGGAAATGTTAATCTCTGGGCATCTTCAGACAGGTTAAACACGCCTAGCTCTTAAAAAAAATCCTTGGGGTGGAGCAGATCCCTATTCCCTCAGCTTTCACTACTGGGTTAAGTGCTCAGGTATAAATTTATCCTCCACCTACTAGAAATGGTATTACAGCATCAGCGAGCAGGCGCCCATGGATACCCAGCCCTTCCTAATGATTTTGAAAACATTAATAAGTAAAGTAGCCTGCAATGCAGATAAGACCTAGAACAGATAAGAGAAAACCGGGTGAGGCGAGCAGTCGTCTGCCTGTTACCTGTGTCTCTAGGGGAAAAGACGGTCGTAGGAAGACTTTCTGCCCGCAGGTACAATCCCGGCAAGGTGGCTCCAGGTGGCTGTCACGGTCGTACTCGGGGCTCCTTCGTCACTTCTCTGCCCTTTGCCATAGCTCAGCACCCGCATCCTAGGGAGTCGGAGAGGCGGCTCCTGCCACTGCCGCCGCTGCCCGCAGGTCGCGCTGGGTGGGGGATCCGTGGCGATCGCCCCATGAAACCCGCGTCTCGGGGCCCGGGAGCGGGCAGAGGCAGGGCGGCCACGCACGCACACTCAGAGACACGCACACTCACACGCACACTCGCACCCGGGCGCGCGCGCACTTGTACTCACACTTGCACACGCACACCCAGCTCCGCACGGGGAGGGAACAGTTTCTTCTCACGGCTGGCTTTGAAGTCCACCAGACCGCGGGCAGCAGAGAGAGCTTTCTCTCATAGCCGGTCAATCACGTTTCCTTCAAGTTCTCCTCCAACCTGAATCCACGTAATTCAAGAGCTGTTGACATTTTGGTGGGGAGGAGGAAGCCGGAAAAGAGCTGAGAAAGTCGGGGATTTTGTTAAGCAGTTTGAAAAGCAATCCTCATTACCTTGTTTGTATCGCAAACCAGCTAGAAGAGCTGAACTTTTGGCTTCAAATGCTGGGGACTGAAACGTAAATATCTTTCTGGCCAAGACAGGAGGGTCTAGATGCGCAGAAACGATAAAGCTGCAAGACCCGCTCTTGACCTTGCCATGTACCTGGAAGCAGGTTAATATCGGTGTTTTCCAAGCCTCTGGGTAAAGCGATCCACACACCTGGGTCCACAGCCCAACAGCCCTTCCAAATCCAGCCAGGAAAATAGGTCTGGGCGTCCTCCGCGCTCTTCGAGAACCCGGGCACGGAGGGACATCGCCGAGTTAACACGTTTGCTTCTGGGCAGTGGATAAAAGACAGTCAAATGCATCAGATAGACGCGCGCGTACACACACGCGCGCGCACACACGCAGCTAGCTGGAAAGCGGCTTACAAAAACACCAGAGGGATGCCAAGATGACTTGAAAAGGTATCCAGGATCTTTCCGGAAAAGGGAAGGGCCAGCAGGAGGTTACCAAAGTCTTTTCAAGTCTTTCAATTCTTCCTCTGGCTGGAGAGTGTGTGTATTTCCAGGTTTCCTCCGTCTGCCCCACCCCCGTCTAGTTGCGCTTTTTCCCCTGATACAACCAAGCTTGCAAAATGGATTATGTGGGTGGGCTGTCCTCACAGTCCAGAGCTCCCCAAAGTCAAGAATCCTAAGGGAGCAGCCAGCTGTGAAACCATTCCCATCCTCACGAGAAAGAGGAGAAACACGCACAAACACACGCGCGCCCGGGCACACACACGCACACCCACATCCAGTCCTCGGCTCCGGCAGCTCTGCACGCGCTCACCGCCTCCCTGCGCGCCGCTGCACAGCGCCCCGCCCGCCGCCGGCGCCCGGGCGAGTCGGCAGTTCAGGCGTTAGGCAGGCAACCGAGGTCCCGGGCTGTGGCAGCGTCTCGGGCGGGCCCCAGAGCCGGGCTCCCCACGGCGGCGCGTGCTGGCACCGGCAGCCGCCTGGCCCCGAGGAACGGCGCCCGGCTCTGCAGCATCAGGCGGCGGTGGCGGCGGCGGGCGCGCGGCCGTGAGCCCAGCCCTCGCCGCAGTGACGGGAGCGGCCGCGCCGCCCAGACCCCGAGAGTCAGACTAGACCCCGAGAGTCAGACAGGCCCGGGTTGGGGCCGCGGAGCTGCCGTCAGCACTTGCGCCTCCTGTCCCGACGCGTTCAGAACCCTATACCCGGGGCGTGCGGAGTGGAACTGCAAAGCTCCGGGAAACCCCCAGGCGGAGGAGGCGCGGGGGCGTTGCAGGCAGGGGGAGGGGAGACGGAGGAAAACCTGGAGTAGGAAGGGTAACTTTCGGGGGCGCTCCCAGATTCCTTCGGAAGAGGAATATGCTGATCGCCCCCTGTCCGAATAAAGCGTCACTGGGTCAGGCTGCAGCTGCTTTAAAGGCACTGGGAAAGTCGTTAGCGCTAACCTGCTGGAACATCTAAGGCAGTGAACTACCGATTGGCTTCCAGGGTCCCCTCAGTCGTGGGGTTTGGTCTGCTCAGTGACCAGATGAGAACGAATTCTGAAAATTACATTTATATCTGGGGATCAACTCCGGTCAGCACCAGACGTTTCAGCTGGCCACATTTTAGTATGCCAAGGGCAGAAAGGGTGTCCTCATAAGCCAGGCTTGGCCTCTAAGGTCAACTGCGCAGGGGAAGGGCTGAAGCAGAAGAGAGGTCAGTAGGGAGGAGAGGCCAGACTGGGCCCCATGGAGAGGGATCTGGCCAGGGCCCTCGCCTGGTTTTGCTCTAAACTCCGCCAAAATTCCCTTACACTAGTCCCACTCTCCACAGCCTGTTAAATTCAGGTAAGTAAAGAAAAGGCTTTAAAAACCCCATGAGTGAACTCTCACTGTTCCTCTCTGCTGGAGCCTTGAAATGCTGTTGCTTGCATTTACCGGTTCACCAGCACGTGGCCTTCGGCCTCTGCACACACTTCCCCTTTCAGTTATGACCCTGGCTATCTCAGATACCACTGGGTCCCCAAAAGGAATGCAAAAGTCAGGGGTTGCAAAGGGAAGGCAGCTAATAAGGGCCTCTGCTTGGCCTACTTGGCAAAGGCTCCTGCTGGTGGCCGCCTTGGATAAGGCACTGTCTCATTTTGCTAAGAAGAAAGCTTTGGTCTGCGGCTGCACACGCGAGCGAGCGTACAATTGATCACATGCACGGGCTCACCCGAGCGCGCACACGTGCACCCTTGCGTAAAGGAGACCCACACAGCCGCTTCTGTCGGGGAAGTGCTTTAGGTCGAATCTGCTCGCTTCTCCTCCTTTCTCTCCTCCCTCTGTCTCCCCGTGCAATCTCGGGTTAGGAATCCGCGCAAACGAACAGGCCGCTCCGCTTTGGAGGAGCACTGCTGCGGACAGCAGTTCCTGCTGCGTAGCCTCTCTCCAAGTCCACGGAGCTGCCAGGTCTGGGGCTCCGGGGGTCTCCGCGGGAGCGCGGGAGGTGCAGTATCGGAGTTCGAGGGCTGGAGGCTCGAACCCCATGCAGCAGGAAGACTGAGCAGCAATTCCAGGCACAAATAAATAAAAGGAACACGGTGAACAAACATGCCAGCGGACACCACTGAAGTCCAGGAGAGTCTCCACTGAAACCATTAGCGTTTTCCCTGCAGCTGTCCGTCCCCCGATGGAGAAAATCGGGTTTTCCAAGAAGTTCACAGGGAGAATGTGCAGCGAACTGAGGTCACAGACTTCCAGAGGCACGGGAAGAGAAAACGCTTCCATCCTCGGCCCACTTTAAACTTGGTTGCTTCTGGGACTTCACCGGAGAGCGATGGAGTTGCACCAGCCAGGACGACAGACAGATCTGAGCGAGCACTTCCAAGTCCTTTAGGACGCGGGGGTGACTCTTTTTTCTTTCAGGATTGTCCCACTTGCCACCCTTTCCAGCTGAGCTGATAAGAACCACTAAAAGTCTAGGAGATAAGAATTTGCAGTTCCCTCTGGGGACCAAAGTATACAGAGAGATACCGAATAAGAAGTAAAAAGACCTTGCACTGCTGAGCTGAGTAACTTACTTTCTCTCTCTCTCTTTCTCTCTCTCTCTCTCTCCCCTCCCTTCCCTTCTTTTCCCCTTCCTTCCTTTTCCTTTCCTATGTTTCTTTTTTGTTGCGTTTAGACAGAGGCAGGGAGGGGAGACACTTAGCCAGCGGTAGGAAGGATTGGGAATGTAGCAGAGTTCAAATTCAAACAGCATCTGCCGTAGAAAAGCGCTCGCTTGCCTGCTCGCTCCTCCTCCCTCTCAGTGAGTGTGTGTTTGAGAAAAAAGAAACCAATGTCTCCTTAATGTGGACAGTAACAGTGCATAACTTTTCACTATTTTCTTCATGCTGAAAATCCTACTAGGCTTAAAAAGAAAAAAAAAAGAAAGAAAGAAAGAAAGCCAGCCCTCTCTCTGGCCTTCTTGTGTGGCCTGGGTTACACGAAGTATTTGAAAGTGCTTCCTCTATTCCTCCATTTCATCTCTCTCTAGGGAAAAAAAAAAAAAATCTCTCCTAAAGCTGGATGACCTTTCACTCTCCAGATACATTATTTTTCTTTTCCTGCCCACCCAAGCTGATTACAATTTTCGGAGAGAGGGAAGGAGGAAGAAAGGTTTGTTTTGTGTGACTGTCCCTGGAAAGGGGCCAGACCTGAAGGGAGCAGGTGGGATATTTTTTTCCCAAAGGGAACAAGAACATATCCTTCTTTTACTTTTATTGCTGTGCGGATGAAGGGGGGGGCCTCCAAAACTAGGATGTTTCCAAGAAAAAATGTCTAGTTTATTTATATTATTTTTGTTGATTTTAGCCAGCTCTGAAGTGGGTATATTTTACAAGTTTAAATACATTCCTTGTAGAATACTATTTCCTTATACATTGACATGTCAAAAGTATTTTTTCATAGAAAAAATTAGAGTGATTTTTTTTTCTCAGTAGAGTAGCTGCCTTGATTTTCTTAACATGTCCCCTGACTTACTGTTTATGCCAAATCACTTTAAAAATCAGCTTTTTCTTTCCCCCAGATCACTTTTTTCTAAGGACCAACAGCTAAATGTTAGACTGCCAAGTTTCTCAGAATAAGGTAGTATTAAAAAAAAAAAAAAGATTTTTTAGTAATTTCAGCAGTTCATAGAAATGTAAATGTTTTGCAGTTAAAATGAAATTTATCAAAATGTCACCTGAATTTTTCTTTACATTGTTACTTAGCATTTGTACTTCTAAGCTGCGGAGAAAATTATGATCTTTTCTACTTAAAAATTGGGGTTCACTATTGGTTTACATGCCTTATTTTTTTTTTTTTAATTTATGGGACTTGAAAGGCACAGTAAGTTAGCACTTCCTTGAAAGGTATTTCATTCTTTTGTTTCATGTCTACTTGAAGAAGCTTATTTTATGTTGGGAACGTCTTATCTCCAAATGTTCTACATGATAATCACTGCTGAGTTATAAGCCTTTCATTCTTTTATTAATACAACGTAATAGGATAAGTCATCTGTTAATTCAAAACTGGAAAATGGTGTGAAGAAACAACAATACAAGTCTCTGAATGAAGGCATATAATTTTTAAAAACTGATTTAAAAGAACTGATTAAACAGAATAAATGAAGTCCAAATCTTTAAGTTTTCTTTAGTCACTATTATAGATGTACCCCACATAGTCTGAAATTTAAAAAGAGGTCTGCTTGTCTTAGAAGCATATTTCTGGTGTTGTACCTGACCAGGAAGTCCTAGAGTACAGTATATTTTGGCAACTAAATTTTCCCAATAATATGATTCAACTTACCGTTAACTTGAGAGCATGTGTCATAGATAGGTAAACAAATTTCCCACTGGACCAAAAAAAAAAAAAAATCAAATGTATTTAGTACTTAATAATCTTTTGGGTTCCAGAAAACACTCTCTTGTTATTGTTTTTTCTTTTTTTTTTGCTGGCTTATATAAAACATTTATTTTCTTCCTGTATTTTTGTTATACGTGGTAACCTGTATGGATCATGGTAACAGCACTACGAGCTCACTGCCTACCTAGTGAATACTGAAACTACAGAAACCCAAGACATTACTGGATGGAAGTGGTCAATTTTCCTTTTTTACTAAGAAAAAATGACCTTTGAAGCTCAACTTTAGATAGACAATTTTTTTGAGAGATCACATCATAGTCAAGGACTTTCTCAGAGAGCTCAAAGATAAATGATTATTTCAGACATAAACTTGCTGTAGAGAAAGAATGGTTCTTAAACAGTATGGAAAACAGGAGGTAAATTGTATTATTCATTACCATCCATCTTTTTTTTCCTTATTTACTTATATCCTGGTATAACTCCCCACATTTGCCTGTTTCTATTTAGTTACCCAAGAGCTCCAAAGCGTGATGTTCTGTCAAGGAACAAACAGCTAAGTCAGAGAAGAATGCTTCATATTATGATTTCTTCTCATCAGAACTCTCTTTTTAAAATTTTTTTTATTAAATCATAAACACATATATCATGTATACATTAATGCATTTATGGGGTGTAATGTATAGTGATGCAAAGCGGATATAATTAAGCTTTTAGGGAAAATTTTATCAGGCTAATTCAAACTAAACTGTGATTATCAGCTTACCTACCTTGAGACAGAAAGGAAACTTAATTTCTAAAAAGTAGACTTTCCAGCAAAATGTGTTTAAATATATGGAAAGCAGACATACCTTGCATATTTGATTTAAGTATGGTAGTATTTTTTATGCTTTTCTTTCTGTATTTTTATAATGTTATGAAACAATTATTTACATCTATTTTTTAAACTTTGAAGAAGCATTTAAAAAATGTACTTGTGTGTATCTATGTGTATGCGTGTGTGTTCTGTTTCCAAGGATAAATTAGAAGTTATTGAGTAACAAACACAGGAAAGAAGATACTGTTTCCCAGCATGAAGACAGAACACAACAAGCAGAAATGAGTTCAGGAGGTCAAGGAATCCATCTCATAATTTCCACACCATACTGAAACTTGATTCTAAACTGAAGCTAGTCATGAATTAATTATCTAAAAACAAAAAGTTGAAA